GATAACGTAGCTTTGTTCCTCGCAGATATATCTCATCTGATTTGTTTAATCCAACGACTCTCTGGCCTTTTATCACATCATCCTTTCATGGAGTTCTTTGACGTTAGCTTCAGTCATTTAGAGAAAGAGTTACGTCACATACGCGACTTTTGGGTTTGTAGTCTTTGTAATTTGTATTTTTGACTTTTTGTCTTATACAGTTTTACATTAAATGTATATTATAAATTGACCATCATCGTGTGTAATTCAGAGCACAATTCAAACGGGATCAAAAAATTTGTTGTCTCTTGCCGAACATATTTTTTCCAAAGTAAGGTGGTGGTCCATTGGAAGGAGAGGGACTTAGGCTCTCCATATGTTACTCTCCTCTCCTTTGTATTTAAACTGGACCAGAACCTCATGATGGTGCTAGAGGAAAATAGGAAAAAGAATAATATACATAAACCATACCGGTATGGTGTCTGTGCTCCAGTCGCCTATAGTTCATGTTCACACGCGCTACACGTGGTTTGTTTTCCTTCTTCACCCTCACCTCTCATTTCTACTAAGATATATGTAAATTATAACGTATTGAAACAGAAAAGCTCCTATAAATCCTTCAGGTTGAAAATGTTTCTGAGCAGTCATGTCATAAATGTGCCATTTGCTTTTAGCAGTATGTGATTCTAAGATTGAGTTTTTTATATTTATGAGGACATGTGGAGAATGAAAAAACATTTCTTCAGGAATCTTATTCAGGACTTGATGAGTTCCTGGGTTCAGGTCTGGAGCAGCTGGAGGTGAACGTAGGGTCTGTCAACCTTCTAACCCAATGTAAACGTGCTGTCATTTGAATGGAGTCTGGTATGTTGTTAAATCTTTAAATTTGATCATACGTTTTAACTTTTTCCCCTGGGTAATTCTTTGTCATTCATTTCCAGTGACGGCTCTCAGGGGCCAGACAGAGGCCAGCGGCTGTTTTGGGACAAGCATGAAATTAAACATTAATTTAAAACAAAGTAGGACAATGTGTAATTTTACAGTTTCATAGAAACAAATATTATTCAATCTTTGATCTCTTAGACAACAGATGAAAATTCACACCAAAAAGAAACAATGCACACATCATATGCATGACTTACACATGTTCCCGATGTATTTCCTTCATATATATATATATATATATAGTACTAGAAAGAGTACACTCTAATACAGGAAAAGATCAGAACTTTTTGTAATGATAAAACACTGACAATAAAAACATTCACGCATCTGAAAGTTTATATTCACATTGAAAAATATCACTGACTGTTTCAAATACACAACTTACACAATCTTACCTACAAAAAATGTCATTTACTCTTTGTCTATGAAGATTCTCAGTCATCCAGGTCATAGTTAACGAAGGTTAAATCAAGGGCAACTGGACTTATGTGAAGATACTGGAAGACGTTTCGACGTCTTCTAGTATCTTCAACCAAGTCCAGTTGCCCTTGATTTTAACCGTCGTTGGACAATTACTCTTTATTTTCCTCTTTATACAAAAAGCAAAACAAGAAAGAGGACATTTTCACAAGCACATAGCAGCACATCTGCTTCATTTACAAATCACACAAAGTCAACAATACATATAAATCTGGACCAATTTTAAATAAATCAGTGCTGAAGGCAGAAATAGCAGAACAGCCTCAGTGTTTATACAGTATGTGGTCTCTTGGCTGTGTTCTTGTTAAGGAGATAAACACAGAGAGACATTTAACCACGAGGAAACGTTTTGTTTGCATGTTGACAGACAGAAAACACTGCAGCTGATATCATTAGCAACACGCAACACTTTATTTCTATAACGCTATTTCTCCTTATTTGTTTCATTTCAGTGATGTTAGCTGAAATGAAAACGGATCAAACTGATGCCGAAATAACTACAATATGATGCAGATTTGTTAGACCTATGAATTCATGCTTTGTCAGGTCTGTCAGCAGGACAACTTCTAAATTGTTTGTTTTCTGAATGTAGTTTGGATTGATCAGGGCTACGCTATGATAACTTGTTCACAGTAAAGTACAACGATAGCTGGTATAAAGTTACAGACACATGTTTTCTGAACTCTCCAGGTAGTTCAACTTCCTCGCTTTCTTTTCTCCAAGTAACGTCCAGATTTTCCGGTTTTGATATAGTGTAGTCCAACAGAGCTCTGGGTGCCAACCGACGCTAACAATACCAGTGGAACCGCAAATGCACGGAAGCTAGCTGCTGACAAGCGTAGTTGTCAGAGCATAATCCAGACGGGGGTTTATTTGTCCAAAAGCTGCAGCGCTGCTCCCGTCTCTTTCTTCTACACTTCCCCGTAGTTTAGCAGCTCTCCGTCGGCCAGCGGCGTCAATAACCCGCTCTGCTTGGTCCTCTCCAAACAACGCTCTCAAGCCGTCGGTGACGTCCGGACAATCTCAACGCTGATAGGCTTTTTGCAACATAGCTCCATGCAAATTTCACACTCAAGTTAAAAAATTTGCAACAAACGTATCTTCCGCACAGCCTGGAGCAAATTCGCAGGAATTCGTGACTTTGTATGTAATCAAGCCGCCCGAAACGCTGGATTCGCTTTCAGTGTGAACACAGCTTCAGTCATTCGCTTCCACTTCCGGCTCATGGAACCTTACTTTGGAAAAAAATATGTCCGGTAGTCAATGGTGAGAGACAACTTATTTTTTGATCCTGTTTGAACTGAGCCCAGAATTACACATATTATGGTGGTCCACCAGAATGGGAGGGACTTAGGGCGTAGTCACACTAGGCCCGGTTTCCGTGATTGTCCCTCCTCCCCACTCCACCGCTGGCCTGCGCTCACACTGCGCCTAACGATCTGAGCCGGAGCACGTTTAGGTCATCACTCAGTCAGTGTTTCCCATACATTGATTTGTTGTGGCGGCCCGCAACAGTATCACCGCCAACCGCCACAATTAATATGATCTATTTAAAATCGTACTTGATTGCAGAGTGCTGCGTATATATTCGCGCAGCATTGTCTCCCTCTCTAAGTGTTGTCTAAGTGTTCGCTTACGACTGATTAAATGCAAACCGTTCTCCCTCCCAAGTGTTAATGTATGGTGAAGACCCCTTGCACTGGCAAAACTCTTTAGCATCATTGCTAAAAGTAAGCATGGCGGCTGTGGCTCAGGAGGTAGAGCAGGTTGCCTGTTATTTTGAAGGTCGGAGGTTCAATCCCAGGCTACATGTTGAGGTGTCCTTGGTCAAGATACAGAACCCTGAATTGCCAGTTCTGTTTGAGCACTTAGGCTCAGTGAGTGGATGTAGTGTAAAAGCACTTTAAGTGGTCGAAAAGACTAGAAAGGTGCTATACGGAGCATTTATATAAATAACAGAAATGTAAGGAGGTGTTGGGTGGACATAGTTTTATTGTCTAAAATTATCCAAATTCACTACTTTTATTTTGAAAGACTTCTAACCAGATGTTGCATGTTTATTCTTGTTAACTTAACGGCGCGGAGCCCTTCACGTGCAAAAATAACACTAAATGGCTCCAGTGACGCCAAGAGGTCAGAACCTGCCCTCCCTTTTCTTCCTCTCAGTCTGTACGTCTGTGTTTGAACAGAGCGTGAAATGTGTGGCCGTGGCAACAAGAGTGTCCAGATGGGACATTAAAACTCTCTCTCTGTGTGTGTCTGTTTATGTCTCTCGCCCCTCAGTGCCTATGTCCCAGAGGGCCTGCTTACTTCCTGTTCGTGGGACTACATGACCTTTACCCCGTCGGTGCGAGCGTACACCATGCTGCTCTTCATCTTCGCCTTCTTCCTGCCGCTCTTCATCATCATCTACTGCTACCTCTTCATCTTCCGCGCCATCCGCAACACCAACCGGTCAGTCATCGTACGTGTGTTTGGCAGGGCTTGACATTAACTTTTTTGAGCACTAGCCAGTGTGGTTACTAGCCCCATTTTTGTTGTTGGAAAATTAAGATTTATATGATTAAAGCTGACTATGTAAAGCTCCTTTTTGTTTGAAAACATATAGTCTATTAAGATAAACACATAAAAGAGTCGCTTCGTATTGACAGATTCAACGTTTAAAGGTTTATTCTTGTTTGACTAAAGTCTGGATGTCATATTTGGCGCACCTTTAGCGGCGGCACTGCAGCTGTGAAACTCATATCACTCAAATCACAAAACTCACACGGACTAATAATAACAACAAACGCACCAACATACATATACAGTTACAACCCCAGACTTACTTTTGTCAGCTGTTTTCTCAAGTTCTGGGCCTGTAAAGCATGGGAGTGCATTTGGTCACAGGAATGTTGATGAATATTCACTGTTTTTATCAATATTTCAATGTTTTGGAAGCTTAATATTATTTGGAACGTGGTTGTATGGGCAGAAATAGTGTTTTACAATACCAGTGAACATATTAACAGTAAATATTCACCTGGTATATTTTTGAAAAAGTGTGTAATAACTGTTGTGTATTAGATTCTTTTCATCCAATTTACAGTTAAAGGTGTATTAGAAGATATTCTGTTGAACTATAATGAATTGGATGATGGTTTTGATGGTGATATTGCTATTAAAATATAAATTTTATACCAGGCGAGGATGAAAATATCCTTTTACTCTTTATTAGCAAATTAAATAGGTTCATTTACAATTGATTCATATTACGTAGCTTCTGACCTTTCAAAGGAGACCAGAATTATGCATTTAGGCCTAATGTTTGAGGAGTTATAGTCACACGTTAGAGCTACAGTATTAGCCTGATGTTGGTTCACGCTAATTGCCGTGTTAGTTGTAGTGGGTCACTTACCATCCAACAAGCTAATAAACAAGCCACCAAACAGGTTAAGTAACATTAATAAAGCTAACAGAGAGCACTCACGGTAATCATTATCGTTTTTGTTGTGACTAATTTATGAATGAGTATTATCTGTATTAAAGAGAAAAAACTCAATGTTACTTTGAGATCCACAACTACTATAGAGATCTTAACTTTGGTCTCTTCAAACCGGACTTGTGTGTGTCAGTGACATAAGGGGGAAAGCAGGAAGTGGATCAAACCACTGGGAGGCAAAGGAGAGGGGGCTCAAAATGTTTCTAAACCTAAAACGCATTTAGTTTTCCCCTTTTGTGTTTGTTTTGGTTAGTATATATTTATTATATAAGTTACAGTACATGTGCACGGTGTCCCCACAGGTGTAGCGCTACAGGTGTGTGTGTGTGTCTGTGTGATTTCAGGGCCGTGGGGAAGACAAACGGCAGCATTCACAGTCATGGCAGCGGTCGAGACTCCCACCGGATGCACAATGAGTGGAAAATGGCGAAGATCGCTCTGATTGTCATCCTGCTCTACGTCATCTCCTGGTCGCCGTACTCCGCCGTTGCTCTCACCGCCTTCGCCGGGTAAAACAAGACCACCGCCAGACGTGTGCTGCTTACAGCAACATCGATAAAATCACAGTATCACAGCTTCAAACCTGCAGCCGCCAAATTCAAATGTCGAGGTCAGGGATGGTCTTTAGCTGCAGTTCCTCTAATGACCACTAGATGCTGCTCCAAGAAAACTAATTTTAATGAAATGAACAGGAAAAATACTCTAAACGCTAAAAGTAAAAGTACAAAATAATGTAAAAGTACTTATGCGGAATGGCCAATGTAAGAGAAATAAATATTATTATTGATGCATTAATGTGTTCATCACTTTAATGTTGCAGATGCAAAGGTGGAGCTAGTTTCATAGTTTTTATACACTGCTGGGTAGCTTGTGTATTTCACCAAGGGACCAATAAAGTCTTAATCGTAATCAGTAATAATACAAACTAATTTATTAGTTGATTATATTTTTACTATATATTGTATTATTCATCTGAAAATAGCAGAAATGGTCAAGTTAAAGTACAAGCTGGGGGGAGAATGGACGTGTGGTCCACTTTGGTTCCCCTCAGGGAACGTGAACTTGACCCCGCCCCCCTACGATGCAGCTGAAGTGTCCGTTTGCAAAGGTTCTTCTGGGTCCTCACTGTGTTGTTGTTGTTGTGTTTCAGGTACGCAGACATATTGACTCCCTACATGAACTCTGTGCCCGCCGTCATCGCCAAGGCCTCGGCCATCCACAACCCCATCATCTACGCCATCACGCACCCGAAATACAGGTAACATGCTGCATGACTGAACAATACCTCCTTACCAACTGAAGAAACGTCTTCGAGTATCTTCAACCAAGTCCAGCTGCCCTTGATTTTAACCTTCCTTGGATATCTGTGACCTGGGCGACTGAGAACCTTCACAGATTCCTTACCAAGGTCATTGTAGTTTTGCATTTTGTCATTAGTTTTTTATTTTATTCTGTTTTGACTTTACAAGTTCAGTTTAGTTTTTAAAGCAGGTTTGCTAGTTCAGTCTAGTTTATATTTTTAGAAAATGTTAAGTTTTAGTTTAGTTTTTATTAGCTTCACTGTTAGTTTTAGGGAGATTTCACACCTGCCTCATTTAGTTCGGTCGAATCGCACCAGAGTTCGTTTTCCCCCTTGGCGCAGTTCATTTGGACAGGTGTGAATGCAGAAATTTGGACGGACTTTGTGGGATTTTTCCCCTTGAGAAACGTTCCACATATTTCTTCACCATCCACTGCGAGGCACTTGCTCTTATCAGTGACAAAGTGAAAGTAAGCCCAAATTACTCTGCCGCTTTCTCCCGACTTTGCTGCCACTAGACTTCATATCCAACCTGAAATACTAAGCTTATGTCGACCCTATTAGACATTTGCTCTGTAATTTTAGTTTATTGTTGTTCTGCAAACAAAAAAAAAAAATACAGTTTACGTTAGTTTGATTTTTTCGTTAAGACTCATTTTCTTTTTTGAACTTTTTATTGAACATTTTAAGTTTTATGCAATAAAAGAAAGAGGGGGAAAAAGGAATTAATAAAATAATAGTGGAGGAGTGCAGATTCACCCGGCTGTGTTTCTAAAAAAAATGTGTAACCTTCTCTAAAGCCAGACAATAGTTAAGTCTATTCACCCATTGTGATTGGCTAGGAGGATCCACAGCAGTCCGTTTTGACAAAAATACATTCTTTGGGCATCCCAAAGACATGAGCTGAATGGATGAAGTTAAACTGCAGATTCAAGTAATCTCCCAGTAGTTCCATTATAGGGGAGGAGCCATATTCCATATTTAAGACTTTAGTGAGTATTTTCTATGGCCTCCCACCACGGACCTAGTTTTGGGCATAACCAAGCCATATAGAAGAAATTTCTGGTTCTTGCTTCTGAAGCTCCAGTTTTTAAATCAGGAGTGTAAAAGAATGTGTTGGAAACTATTTTTCAGATTTTGTATCTAGCACTTATCTTTGTGTGCGCCCTGAGGCAGTAAGGACCATTGATTATCAAATTGTGTTGTTTCAAGATCTGTGTCCCATTTCCCTCTGAGCAAATTGGTGTTAGCTTTATGCTGTGTGCTAACAATAAATCACAGGCCACTGAAATGTTTACGTTGGATTCCTTGGGTTTGTAATAAATTGTGAAAGCTTTGTTTTTTCCAGGGATCCGAACGTTTAAAATGTCTCAGCTGTAGATATCCATGTGTGTGGCAGGTATTTGCTAAGTCATTAAATTGCTGGAACAGCATCAGTCTGTCACAGCTATGTAGGTCATCAAGCTCAGTTATATTTTTCTGGGCACACACACTTGAAAATCCTGATTTTACTGGACAAATTCTAGAAAAGGGTTAGACATACTGTTACAGTTATGTGGTGATAGGCAGGGTTGAGCAGGTTGGAGGACCCAAATGCAGGACACGAAAAGCCAGCAGGAACAGTTCAGAGAAGGGTTTTAATATAACAAAAGGCGAGCACACTTACAAACAGAGTGGCTGTCCAACAGAAATCCAAAAAGGGTGAAAACCAGAATCCAAAAATGAGCAGGGTAACAGGAAGACACAGCAAGTAAGGCTGAAGACACAAGAACAAACTGCAACACTGGGTGACAACAAACAATGACCCATCAAAGACAAGACAGAAACACCAGGTATATATACACCCGGACTAACGAGCAGGGCGGGAGCAACACAGGAGAAAGACATGAGGCTAACGAGGCAGGCAGAGCAGAGAGGAGAACAGAGAGACAGTCAGGCAGAGGGATACTGGAGGGAATAGACATGACACAGGTTACTGAACACATAACAGATCAGAGGAATAAATATAAATGAATCAAGACACAAGCAGACACATCCCCACTGAACTAACACCAACAAGGAACACAGACCGAAGTGAAGCGAAGTAAAACACTGAACTGGAAACTAATGCATCAAGAAGACAGACATGAGTGACAGACAGAGACGGACATGAGTAAACCCCAAAACACAACAGACTATATAACTGATACTGGACACAGGACAGAACCCAAAACACTAAGACATAAACCGAGACACAGAACGAGGAGCTAAGACACAGAATACAGAGCAGACTAAACTAAAATAATGCAGACGAGGAACAAGAAGTAAATACTAAAACATAACCGAGGCACAGGACTGGGAACAAAGACAAACTAGAACACAGGACCAAGAGCTAAGATAAAAGAGGAGACATAAACTACTAAGGACAAGGAACGAGAGAAACGGGCAAATAGACATATGAAACAATGGCAAAAACTCAAACTCACAGGGAAACAACTACAACTCATAACACATACTAGGCGTGAGTAGACACACAGAGGTCCTGTTCTAAATGATGACTGACTTTACCCCATACTTTAATTGACTCAGTTGTGTTTGAGTTATCTGTGTATTTGTTTTAAATCTCTGTTAATTTTTGTTTTCAACCCTCCTCAAAATCCCCTCTTGATTTAATCTGCCAATTTTAGTTTTAAACACTCTCAGAAGAGGATTAATGATCGTCCTTAGAGAAGAAAAACATCGACAACATACAACCTAAAGCTCGGCGGCAGGCTCTCACCTGAACCTATTTGTTCATTAGTATCTGAATTTAGTTTGACTCCAGCTAACCTGCCTGTTATTCTGCTCAGTGGACCGTCACACTGTTTGAAGATTGATCCAATCAGACAAGGCGCTCTAACAACTGAACCAATCGCTGCTCAATTAACCTGAATGTTAACTGGGCTGGAGACAATCGAACACACACAATGGACTGATGCAGAACACCTGACCTTGTTTTAAAGTGTAAGAGAAAACAGCTTGTGTAACTCTAGGTGTTTAATACAACATCTGTAACATTATGAAGGAAAAGCAGAGAGCTGTTTGATGCTTGAAGCTTTAAATTCTATATTCAAACAAAAAGCAATAAAATGGTTTAGTTAAAGTCCTGTTTGGTGGCTTTTATTCAAAAGTCAAAGCTTATAATGTGACATCTAATAAACAAATTTACAGGGTTAAACTATACACAGCTAGCTACTGTTCGTAACAGCTGTCCGTAATTCATCCTCAGCACTGCGTCACTTTAGAATACCGTGAAACTTGACTTTGTACCCTGAATACTTCAACATTTTGGAAAATAGTGTTATGTTAGCGATATGTTCAGGTGGATATCAATCTCATGTGTGTTCAGTGCAGAGCTGGAGTCAGGGTGTGGTTAGCCTAGCTTAGCATAACAGCTGGAAGCAGGAGGAGGCAGCAAAATGCACCAACCAACACCTGTAAAGATCACAAACAGAAATATAAATATATATATATATAAATATTGTGTGCAGGCACTACTTCTTGACAAACAGCGGAAGATCCGTCTGCCCACAACTTCAGTACAGTTGCCGGTTACAGTCAGTGAGAATAGACTTTGGTTTCGACCTGTAGGCACGATGCTTGCTCATGGGCTCTTCTGTCGAGGCGTAACGTCTAACCGGTGGAGCTCTAGAGCTTATGGGAAGTGGTGTTAGTTTTTTATCTGGACATGTGGAGTGAACCACACACCACTGAGTAAAATGATGTTCCAATGCCTGATTTTAAGTTATTTGTGTTATTGAAAATGCTGCTGGTATGAAGTTTTCTACTGGATCAGAAAACGGAAGTTATCTTGGAAGGAGGCACCTGCTCCCGTTGCCTAACAGTAGAGTCAACCTCTTAACCAACGAAGAACTGATCAAAGCTTCAATCCAGCCTCAATCTCTGGATCTCTCTGTGTCTGTACAGGTTAGCGCTAGCCAAGTACATCCCATTCCTCGGCGCCTTGCTCTGCATCCGTCCTCGTGACCTCCGCTCGGCCAGCAGCAGCTTCATGTCGACGCGTCGCTCCACGGTGACCAGCCAGACCTCCGACATCAGCAGCCAGTTCAGGCGGCAGAGCAACGGCAAGTCCCGCCTCTCCTCCATCTCCGACAGCGAATCGGTAAGCTCAGATCCATTTGGCGCTCAGGTGTGTGTGCACCGCTGTGCGAGTCAAAGAGTGTGTTTTTTTTTTCTCTGCAGGGTTTGACGGACACTGAAGCTGACCTGTCCAGCATGGGCTCCAGACCAGCCAGCCGCCAGGTCTCCTGTGACATCAGCAGAGACACCGCCGAGCTCCCCGAAATCAAACCCTCCTTCAGCTTCAAGTCCAAGATGAAGAACCACGACTCGGGCATCTTCGAAAAGGTAAACACCTTGCCAGCTCCTCCCATGGGTTACCGCTGGCTTGATTTGCCGCAGGCCTGCAGTGTTTTATCGTGTTTGTCAACAGATTCTTACTCCTAAGCCGCTTGGTCAAGACCCTTGGCGTTGCTTTTTAACGCCCTGGGTACCCTTTAGTGACGTTTTCAACATTTAAGGCTCTACGGTTTGTTTGAAGTTTGAAACAAAATAAAACTAGTGATTAATGTTAAACATCACAAATTGGTTAGGTTCAGGAAAACATCATAATTTGGATTAAAATAAATAGTTACTAACAGTACTTATGCAATTTTACTAAAAACAGTCAATGTTGACTAGCGACTGAGACCAAGTGTTTACTGCGGTAATAAATCAGCTGAGAAGTAGCCTCATTTTCTTATTGACTTCGATAAAATCACACTACTTTCTGCAGCCAGTGGAGTCGCCCCCTGCTGGCTGCTAGAGAGAATGCAGGTTTAAGGTGCTTCAGCACTGGCTTCACTTGTGAGAGCCAGAGGTTTCCCCCGGGCTCAAATAACAGCCAATCCAGATGATTGACAGGTCCCGGTGTCAGGATCTGACCAACTGAAGGGGACGATGATAATAATAATAATCTTTATTTTTAGAGCACTTTTCAAAACCCATGTTACAAAGTGCTTAAACAAGCGCATACAATAAAACACAGATTATAAATACACAAAAAGGCAAGAAAAGACATAAGAAACACAAAATATAGTTAAAAGAAAAGAAAAAATATATTAAGTAGAATAAAATTAAATCAACAAAAATCAGAAAAGGCTCTCCTATAAAAGTATGTTGTAAGAAGGGACTTAAAAGAGTTCACTGACTCAGCTGACCTGATGGGCAAACATTTTAACATGTCTCAAAGAGATAATTTGCACAGCTGGAGTCAGATTAAACAGCAGATTACCACAGCAGGACACCCACAAGTGTTTTTCAGAAGGCATTTTACCCCTCATGTAGATCATTATCGCTGCATTCAGCCGGTGAGGAGTAGTGTGTGTCTGGTGAAAGCAGATCTGTGCAGCTCCAAACACCAGAACATCTTTTTTTAAAACACCGTTGTTAATCTGCTGCTCTGTGTTTCATATTTTCTCTGCTCAATGTGCTTTTCAGCTCGGACGAGAAAATCCTCTTTTCCTTTTGATCTATCATTGAATCGAAACGGTCGCTCGGGTTTTTAAAAGTGTTTTAAAATTCTGCAAAACAGATTAGAGTTTAATGACTCTAGTTTCCTGCTTTACTCACTTATACTTTCGATGAAAATCTAAATATATTAAATTCTTTCCTGGGATTTAATGTGACAGGAAGTGGTGCAGAGGAGAATCTCCATCATGGCTGCAGCCGGATGCTGGTTAATCAGTCTGATAATCACTGGCTCCCGTTCATTTTTGTGTCTTTTTTGCAGATGTCCGGTGACACTGATATCTCCATGGCAGGAGTCAGTGAACGCGGCAGCATCCCAAACGTAAGTACTGTCCAGCTGTCCACACAGCGGATCTTAATCTGAAGTTATGAAAGCAAATATAAAAATATTAATCTGTGAGTGGTGTTTTCCGTCTCTTATTTACCCACTTTGAGTGGTTTACTTCGCGGCTCTGAACTGTGTTTCTAAGCTAATTTAGCCTTGCTAGCTAATGTAGCTTTCATTGGCGCAGGCGAGAGAGACACCATCGGACACAAACAAGAGATAATTTCTCCTCTGTGTGTCAGCTGGAAAATGCATCGTCTCAAAGCTGGAAATTGGCTGTTTTTCTGACTTTTTAGTGGACAGTGACGCTACAAACACATGGTGATCTTAAGCCGTTTTTCCATTACCAGCTCAACTCGCCTCGACTTGACTCTACTCGACTCGGTTTGGACCTGCTCCGTTTTCCATTGCAGATAGTGCCCGGAGATAGTAGCCCTCAATGTAGCTGGTCGTCATAGCGACGCCACACACAACTGGTGCGCTGTAATTTTCAATGTGACACACACACCAGCGATCCACACAGCTTTCTCTTTATTTAAGTTAAAACGTATCAACCTTCCTCAGAATGTAAAGACAGATAAACGGTATGAAAACCTTCCAGCTGTGTTTTCCTCTGCCGTTGTTGCTGCAGCGGTCTGTGTGACGGCGGGTCACAGCAGGCTTCCCCCGCCGCCACTTGTGGAGCTCCTCAACTCCGAAAATATTCAAGCACATTTTTGTTCCGCTGTCACTTCTCATAAAACTGTCAATATTCGAAATCTACACAGCTGATTTCTCACCTCAAAACTTCTCAGAAGTGGATTTAGTGATGAAATTCCATACGAAAACTGTAAAATCTAAAACTTTCTGTTGCTGGCCTCTGTCTGGCTCATGCAATGATGATGCAGTGAATAGTGAATATTCTCTCTGACCAATCAGCAGTCTGCTGTGTTTTCACGTCACATTTTAGTTTCGCCTCAGCACGCTTGGAACCTCGACGGAGGTTATACAAAAAAAATTACCTGGTAGCAGGTACAGGTACAACTTTTCCACAATGGAAAACCAAAAAAAGGCGAGTAGAGTCGAGGTGAGTCGAGGTGAGTCGAGCTGGTACTGTGCAGTGGAAAAGGGGCTTTATAGACAATGATGTATTGCTGCAGATTAAACTACGGAACAGGATAAAGAGTTTGAATGAGCTTAACCTTCAGCAGTAAAATGCAACATCCACATTAATGCAGCAGGAATATTAATCCAGAAACATTAGATATAATGGTGAAACACTGACCGGAAACATTTTTCTGAGTTGAGTACCTTTAATTTCATACTCGAAGTACATTTATGCCTGGTACACACTAGAGGTCAGCTGGTTGTTCTTGTGTGCTGTGTTTTGCACAGAAAAACAAAAGAAGAGAATCAAACTGTGGATGAACTCGAGGCTGAGAACAGGGAATGAGCAGGTTTATACACTTTTACGTTTTATAGTGCGAGTAGATGCACAACACGCTGGTGACTCTTTCCACTCACCTTTCTCTCATTGGCCGTTGCAGGTTTCCGGAAGTTAACTGATTTGGAATTGTAATATTGACGATCCGTAACTGGGGAGCCTTAAGAGTATGTCTATAAACCCCTCCCACTACAGGATTATTTGGGCCAATAATCTGTTCATCAACCAGCCTCAGCTTTGCGAATCGGACCCAGTATTAGCCTGATTGTCCTCTAGTGTACAGCCAGCATGAGCTCATAATACTTAAGGGTTTTAAAGCATTAGTGGAGTATATTCACAGTTTAGTATTAGTACTTTTACTGAAGTAAAGGATCGGAATACTTCTCCCAAAGCTGGACTTGGTGGATTTTTTTGAATACGTACAATCTGTTAATCTTAATAAGTTAAAAGCGATATAATTCTGAAATTAAATGTTGAGCTGGATTTCCTGTTTGACAGAGCGGGGATCTTGCAGAGGGACACGTGACGAGAAGCACGATTGGTCGAATCCCGAGCATCGTCGTCACCTCTGAGTCCAGCCCCTTTCTTCCCATCAGTCGAAAAGGTTCCAGCACTGCCCGCTCCAAGACAGCCAACAACACAAAGGCGGGGTCTGGGTAGAGCCCCGCCCCCTCCAGCTGATCACCTGCAGCCACCTGACCAGCTCACGTCCAGTCAGATAATTAGAAGTGTAGAGTTCAAACACACCTGAAGAACACACGAAAGCCATTTGATCAAAGCAAACATGACGGTGTTGGGTACGTTGGGGACTACGTCAAAGATTTATTGGTAGTGGACAGAATTACTCCTGATAAATGTCAAAGAACGGCTGTAGCCATGATTAATATAGACTGCGACCAGTACCAACTGAACCAAACAGCACTTATATTTTTGTCCCAACTAACGTGTATTAGGTGTTAAGTTGTCAAGAAGACTGTAATATGAAAATGTTTCTTATGCTACTTAAGTAAACAAGCATTGGAGGGTGGAATGTTTTTTTTTTACTTTAACCCCAAAAACATAATTTTCCTGCATCTGATTTCCATCCCCAAAATCCCAACTCGTCACATAAGGACGCTTGGTCAAGACCCCTTGGCGTCACTTTTTAACGCCCTAAGTACCCTTAAGGGTCGTTTTAGGGTCTAAACAATAGATATGTAACGTCCGGTCAAGTTAGCAACAATAAACACGCAATGTTAGACTTTCACAATAATGGTATGTGTTAACGTTGCGAGATGTCGCAATTTTTAAACGGCACGTTGTTGACAAAACGTTAATGGTTTGGGTTAAAATAACCGCGTTACTTACGTAACTTGACTTTCTTAAATTAAGTAACATACTTATGCAACTAACATAACCTACATAATTTAAATAAAAAAATTCAATTTGTACTTTTTGTTTCACACGAGCAACGAACACCAGTCCCCTGGTTGAAAGTCCGGTTTCTGGACTACCTCCTTACTCAGACCTTTCTGTTAAGTATCCTACACCTACCTTTAGCGGTCAAAAATTATGCTACGTTCCCCCCAGTGCATTGAACGATGACGTTAAGGGGCTCCCCAGTGCATTGGGTTAGGGGTAGGGTTAGCCCTAGATGCCAACAGGACTTGGCCATGTATTCTTATGTGATGATGTTTATGTGTGACTTGGGAGTAAGAATGGCTTGCTATCCCTGATTCAGATGGATGTAAACAGATGTAAGTTTTTTTTTTAACTCCTCTTATCATTTTATTTTTCTCTTCAGGTGAGACGGGTTATGGTCCCTGAGCCTTTTTAACAAACATTTTCATTTGTTTCAGGACAAGGAAATTATTAATATGAGATTTTTCTACAAACCCTGTGGATTCCTGTTTGTGTGCTTGTTGTGTTTTGCTTTTGATTTGTTTTTCTGTCGTTTCCCAGCTCAGTCCTACAGAGACATGTGACAGGTGGAAAGTTGTTTGTTTGGTTCTTTGTGAGTAAGAACTTAGATATTACATAAAAAAACAAATTCAAAACCCAGCTCTCAATTTGACCGTTGACTGACTAAACCCCATCACAGCTCATAGCTAACAGTAACCTTACTAGGAGTGGTTGATCCGTCAAGTCTTGTAATTTTCCGCATGGTGAAGAGGTGTACATGTGGCTCTGTATACTCTAACCCACTCAAACAATATAAAAAGGTACGAGTAAAGGTGTAAGGAATGGGATTAAACTGTTAAATCTGATCTAACCTAAGATGTAAATGAGCATGTCCAGCTGACTACCTTATGCTACTATAAAAAGTAGTAAACCTAAGGCATTTTTTTTAGCATTGCATTATTTTGTGGCATTACACGTTGCATTATCCACTGTGCTACTCCTGGAGTGCAGGCTAACGTTAGCGACTCTGTCCTGCTGTATTTCGTTCGAAGATGTTTAAACCCCAACCCTAGCCAAACTCTTTACTCACAACTAGTCCTCATCCCAAAAGCCTTTATCTTATAATATAAAAAGTGACAATGTTTATATATATGTAACAATAATGCGTTAATCCAACCAGTGTCTCGTTTGTTCTTGGCCAAATGGCTATTTTTTAATACTCATACCAGAAGGACTAGCTAAGTGCTACACTTCAATAAAAGAACAATGTTTCTTTATTTCAACATGTATAATAAAATAGTGAGAATGCTGACATTTGCCTGGGACCTGTTAGCTTTAGCCTCGTTCTGTTAGCGTGACCATTTTTACAGGGTTCTTAAAACATTTAAGAACATTAAAATGTTTGCTGGAAACTGAGTTTTTAAACAGTTCATGGAGCTGACATAACTAGCTAACTAGCCGAAAGTGACCTAATCTGTTTGCGACAGCTGTCATTTTAAAGTGGTCCATGACTAAAAATATGAATCTGATTTTGTCTACTGCATAAAATCAAGGACCAATTGACCAAAAATTTCTAAGAATTTTGATTGTTAATTTGCCACCTGCAATGTATTGACAGCCTAAAATATGTACTAGGTCTGTAATAGGTAGTCAACGACGAAAGAAACAAATGTTTTGATCCCATTTAAATAGTGCCCTTAATTATACACAGGATGTTTGTCAAGTTAAAATATACTTACAATAAATATATGTAAAGTCAAGAAAGTTGCAGTTTGTTTTGTAGACATACAAAAATACTTAATTAGAAAGACCACAAACCCAAAAGTCACATATTTGACGTCATAACTGTTTATCTGACTGACTGAAGGTAACGTTACTTAAGCTAATGTCAAAGAGCACCCATGTGTGGATGATGTGATAAAAGGACCAGGAGTTGTTGGATTAAACAAGGTGAAATACATCTGTGCGTTGAACATAGCTAAGTTACCTATAGTAGCAAGGAAGCGATGAAGGTTAGCTTTGCATTACAGCGCTAACATGTTGGTGACGTATATTGTGCAAGACAAGAGATGTAGTTAATGGAGCGGTTTCACACAAAACTAAATGTTACTTTACTGTTTTACAACAAACTGTGACTTTCTTGACTTAAATTATGTTTTAAATTGACAAGCATCTTGTGTGTGATTCAGGACAAAACTCAAACAAGACAAAACATTACTTGTCTCTCACCACTGACTACCGGACATTTTATTTTCCAAAAGAAGGTCCCATGAGGGGGAAGAGGAAGTGAGGGAGGGGTAAAAAAACAACCAGATCAACACCAAAAAACAAATAGACAACTCTGCTTTCCAACATGGTCTTTGTTCTTTATCCATTTATCCTAGTTTCAGATAGAATGAACCTGGAAAAGGAGAATATCCGATTAAAATTACATTTCAACGAAGGTTCTGCCAGATTTAAGTGCTGAGAGGAAGGGCCATACTTTGGGAAATCCTTTTGTCATCATTTGAAATGTATTTTTCCACTTCTGAAGGAGCTGGGCTAGCAGTTTCCGCCTGATTCCAGTCTTTGTGCTAAGGTGAAACACACCCTGGACCTCTCTGTGTACTGGACACACAGAGACAAAACTGATTTCACTTACTGATATCAATTTTGGATCATATCTGGGTATGATGTCAATCAATACGATTTAGCAAAATGTCAGACTGCTCCTTTGAATAAATTCAGATGTTTCTCCTTATCTCAGTGACTGCTTAAAGCCCTGAGGCCTGCAAATGCACTTTTATTACAAAATATTTTAAATGTTTTTAAAGATTTCCTGCATTCTGGTGTTGTTCAATTAGTGTTTTTCTTTCTGTTAGTGTTTCCTTCTTTTCTTGATTGCGTATTTAAAGTCTATATTTTGCTGAAGGACGGTGTAGTGGAATGTGATCGTGATGTAGTTGGTGTTAGTACCAGGGGGGTGAAAAGGGACCTAACTGTTGATTGTAACATTGGGCTTGATAAGCCAATCTGACTGTTGGTCTGCATGAAGTTACTTGTACATTCCCCAATAGTCAATTTGAATGTTTCTTTAAAATAACACAACTTTTGACAAGTTTTCTGCTGGGAGGGAAGTTTTCATTAATTCAATAAACTTAAAGGCAATTGAACAAAACCAGATTAGCACAAGAACTGAACAGTTTGAACAGCTGAACTGCACTGTTTACTAACCTGAAACAAACTATTTCAGCTTCTGAACTATTAGCGAGGCAGAACAAAAACTGCTTTTTTAGCTAAATGACCCCAAAACTGTTTTTATTGTTAAACTGAACCATTGTTTGCTAACCTTTATCAAAATGTTTTAGGAGCTAAACTAGGCTGGAAACAAACCTTAACCAAAATGTTTTCTTAGTGAACTGACCTTTAATAGTTTAAGCTGATCAAAGCTGTTTAACTGCTGTTTAGCCAAACCATTAGCTAAATGACACCAAAACTGTTGTAGCTGTTAAACTGAACCAATTTTAAACCTTTAGTGTTTTGGGGGAAATGACCTTTAGCTAAAGTTAAACACACAGTTTAAGCTGCTAAACTGAACTTTTAGCTTAGCCAAAAAAAGCTGTTTAACTGCTGTTAGGTAAACAAAACTAAACCTGTTTGTTGTTAACCAGCGTGTTTGTTGTTAACCAGCGTAACACAGCTGTTTAAATGCTAAATGAAGTTGCGACGGGTGGCTTAATTTAGTTGGTAGTTAGCATTAATCTTAATATGTTGTAGGTTCTAAACTGGGCTGTTAACAAACCTGAACCAAACTGTGTGCTTTTAACTAAAATGAAACAAACTGATGCTGAAGTAAAGATGCTAAATTACACCATATTATAACCTTAATTAATATAATTTAGTTGCTAAACTAAACCAGCAGTTTAAACTGAATTTTAAGTGCTTCAGCTGCGACTTTCAAGCTGCTTTGAAAGCTTTTGAAGTTTTAAATAGTTGTTATATTCATGCAGGTCTTCAAACCTTTCTCTCTGTGGCCTACGAACAAAAACCTCTACTAGTTCACTAATCATTCCCCCTTGCATCCAAATGCTGACAGTACAGTGTAATGTGGCAGCAGTATGGTGCAGTAAAGCTCTGCACAATGTTGAATAGACAGTAATGAGATTAAATATAAATGCAAGTGTTTGCTATATTAGTTCCTGTGTAATGAAGTTTTTGTTTTCAACGGGAAGGTGACTTATTGTAGATGTGTTTCTCCTGTTTACCTCAGTGTTGCTCTTATTTATTTTTCTAAATAAATATCTATTATTCACTGTATTCATCGTGGGACGCCTCTGTTTGAGCCTTCATCACTGCAGAAACAGAAATGGCCTTTTAGAATTACACGCATACAATATATACATATATATATATATATAAACTGTACAATACACAGATGTTGTTTTACAGACTGTTTTAAGGGTGAATTGTCTCTTTAACACACATAACGTGTTAATCAGTGATCATTAGAGTTGCTGGAAGGTGGATTTTGTTTCCTTTTCCTATCCAATTAAACTTTTTGAATTATGATTTTAAGTTGACTTAAACAGTACGCACCGACTTTATTACTGTAATAAAACTCTATGCATGAGCTGAAAATGACCGCTTGCTGGACATTGCATTGACAATTAAAGTGTATCAATATTTAATTGCTAATGAAGCTGCTTTATTGACCATGGCCACTAGGTGCCGCTGTATGGTCTGAGCCAAATCAAAGAACTTTTTTGTCTCCACTTATATTATTCAAAGTGCATCACAGGATAACTATCTAAACTCCCTTGCTTAAAAACATATCAGTGTGGTGAAACGGTGACAGTGACGCTTCAGCGGTGGGTTTATGCAGTGAACCTTGTACACACTGTACGCTATTTATGTGTACTTGGTCTCTTCTATGCTCAGGGTCAAAGGTCAGAAACTTGACAGGGACCCTTTAAATCACTGTAGGTCAGCAAAAACAAGATTTTCAGAGGGTTAAGTTACTCTTTAAAGTAAATTTTAGAGACGTAGAAAATCAGTGAACAGACATGAGTGCATGTGAAAGTGTGATTTCATCCTGTGAGACAAAATTAAAAAAAGGACGGTGAAAAACAGGGTCACAACAGTGGTGAGGAGCATTGCACAAGGAATAATATTTAGAGGACAGCCTTGTGCATGTGTTGGTGCTGTGGCTTAGCTGCTTAAATTGGCTGTCTAGTAAACAGGAGATCCAGAGTTCAACTCCCAGCAGTTCCTTATATTGACTGTGCTATATGTCATGCACAGCACATTGATCAAACTAAGTAGGGAGATTGAACTCTCCACTGAAAAGTACGTAAGAGGTGGCTTCATTTTTCGGCAGGACAGATGTTGTAGGCTACCTGCCAAGCTTTGCATCCACCTTTTTTGTTAGCAAGTATGATTATATTGTATTATATATTATATGTGTTATCTCCCGTGAGCTGCATGCAATTCTTTGCAGGCATGCAGACCTGTGCACCTGTGGTAAAGACAAGTAATTGGCTGTAACGGTTAATGTTCCTGAGTTGGGTAAGTTATATTAGTAATTCCTATCAACATGTTAAATCATAATAACTGTTACAACACATTATTTCAAGTCATACAAAACAAATTTGACATTTGTAACCTTTTAATATTGATTTTTCCATGGAATATTTTTGTTATAAAATGGATCAGACTAAATATACTTATAATAAAATAAAATCACATTCTTCACACATCAATTTTCTAGGTTAATTTTAAATTGCGTGCTCTAAACTTAACAATATACTATAGTTAACAGCTGTAAATGAAACTATTAAGATGGTGTCAATAGGTTAACATTTTGCATATGTGTTAAAATAAAAAATTATGAGACAAATATGACATTTCTTTAGAAGTTACTCTATTGTGTAATGGAAATTTGTCCCTTAGTGAGTCTTCTGAAATAAAGAGTCCAATCCAGACGTCTTTTAAGGGTTTTATTCTTTGCAAAGGGTCAGACAAACATACAGAGTGCCAAACAGTCTGCAGAGTGTAAGACAAAGAGCCAGTGAAGAAGCAGGTGACTTTATACTGTAAGGGTATTACGCAGCTATCCAAGGGAGGAAGGGAGTAGGGACCAGCTGTCCTGAGATGAAGGCCTGTCAAGGACAGTCTGATAAGAAAACTCTCTAACAAGCATCTTTCCCATGGGAAACTTCACCTAGCTGAAACATGATAAAATATCAAATACCATACAGTGAGACCTTAGTATATAATAATGGAGCATGCAGGGTGAAACAGTTAGCAGAGTAAAATATCAAATTTCCATCACAATTATGAAAAACAAAACAATTATCTGCACACTAAATAGTTTTGTAGCCAAGTAGGAGGTGTCATTTTTTGCGACCTCTGAGAAGGTTTAGATGCACCTATTTACTACAGGTGCATTCGATCAGTTCTCAGACTTTAGAGTGTGCATTGTCACAATTAATGATACCACCTACTTTGATTCATTATTACTCTGTTATTCTTTGTTTCAGCACTTACCCACAGGTTGGTTTGGATGTGTGCACATTCTTCTGTGTGTAAACTAGACTTAAAACAGACTAGCAAACAAGGGACTCTTAAAATCCTGTCCAGGCTCTGATACTGAGTGTAAGACTCCTGATGTATCTTTAAGGTAGAAAGTGAAATTGCTGTTGCACACAGAAATACACTGCATTATTTCATTTCAACATTTTATGTCAAATTTGAAAAATGTTTTGGGAGCATTTTCACTTTTTAACCTCTGCTAAACTTCTCTCATTTAGCAAAAGTTCATTTTTAATATTTTATGTTTTATCTGTGTTGTATGATTACATTTAAATTGACAGACATAATGTGAAATCTAACATTTTCAGCCAGTAGTACAGACAAAGGAGTTAAAAAATATAATAATAAATAATATTTAAAACTAAAATTAAATAGAAGGGGAGAAGGCCTTTCCACATCACTCCACCCCAAAAGATACAGATGTCCAGCACACAGAGGATGCACAAGTCTCTGCAGCTCTCTGGGAACCAATGTCTAATGTGATCAACACTGTGACTATCGGAAGAGAATAAATTTGTAATAAATGCTGCAGGTATGAAGTAAACTATACCAATGCATTTTTAATAAAACATTATATCTGAAAAAGTTAAATTAAGGCCAGGCGGAGGCGCTGTAGCGCTGCCTTGTCGTTACAGAATTCTTAATGTCTGCAATGTTTAATCTGTTATGTAGTGAGGATCCCCTGCTTAGATGTTATTCATATGATGAAAAACTGAGTGTTTCACCCTTTCTCACTGCATAGTATGTGTTTGCTGTGTAAATCTATATGTATACTACCCAACGAAGGTTAAAATCAAGGGCAACTGCACTTGGTTGAACGTATTGGAAGATGTTTCGTCCCTCATCCAAAGGACTTCTTCAGTTCTGACTGACTGGCAGGGAAACTCACCTATTTAACCTCAGTGGGGTCGTGTGTAAACTAGACTTAAAACAGACTAGCAAACAAGGGACTCTTAAAAACCTGTCCAGGCTCTGATACTGAGTGTAAGACTCCTGATGTATCTTTAAGGTAGAAAGTGAAATTGCTGTTGCACACAGAAATACACTGCATTATTTCATTTCAACATTTTATGTCAAATTTGAAAAATGTTTTGGGAGCATTTTCACTTTTAACCTCTGCTAAACTTCTCTCATTTAGCAAAAGTTCATTTTTAATATTTTATGTTTTATCTGTGTTGTATGATCACATTTAAATTGACAGACATAATGTGAAATCTAACATTTTCAGCCAGTAGTACAGACAAAGGAGTTAAAAAATATAATAATAAATAATATTTAAAACTAAAATTAAATAGAAGGGGAGAAGGCCTTTCCACATCACTCCACCCCAAAAGATACAGATGTCCAGCACACAGAGGATGCACAAGTCTCTGCAGCTCTCTGGGAACCAATGTCTAACGTGATCAACACTGTGACTATCGGAGGAGAATAAATTTGTAATAAATGCTGCAGGTATGAAGTAAACTATACCAATGCATTTTTAATAAAACATTATATCTGGAAAAGTTAAATTAAGGCCAGGCGGAAAAGTATATCTGGAAAAGTTAAATTAAGGCCAGGCGGAGGCGCTGTAATTTAATAAAAGCAGGTAACTCTGAGCTCCTCCCGCGAGCAAACGGCGTAGTTCTCATAGCATAAACCAGACGGACTACAGGTGTTTATTTGTCCAAAAGCTGCAGCGCTGCTCCCGGCTCTTCTCCCCCAAGTTTAGCAGCTCTCCGCCGGCCAGCAGAGTTTCAATCCCCCGCTCTGCCTGGTCCTCTCCACACAACGCTCTGAGGCCGTCAACAACGTCCGGACAATCTCAACGCTGATAGGCTATCGCGGCTCAGCATCATGTGACCTTCTTGCTCAAGTTGAAAATGTTCAACTCACGCGTTGCCGGCAGCGCCGTAAGTTCCTCACTCAACATCTGTCTGGCCACGAGACAAGGCCGCGGCGCTGTAGCTTAGTGGTTAAAGCGCCTGTTTCGTAAACAGGAGAGCCTGGGTTCAACTCCCAGCAGTGCCTTGTCGTTACAGAATTCTTAATGTCTGCAATGTTTAATCTGTTATGTAGTGAGGATCCCCTGCTTAGATGTTATTCATATGATGAAAAACTGAGTGTTTCACCCTTTCTCACTGCATAGTATGTGTTTGCTGTGTAAATCTATATGTATACTACCCAACGAAGGTTAAAATCAAGGGCAACTGCACTTGGTTGAACGTATTGGAAGATGTTTCGTCCCTCATCCAAAGGACTTCTTCAGTTCTGACTGACTGGCAGGGAAACTCACCTATTTAACCTCAGTGGGGTCGTTGGCCAGGGTCATCGATACCGCTGGTTCGTTAGTGTTCCTGGTTGCTGTGACGGCAGTCGTTACAGTCGTTAGGACTACCGGTGGCCGAGACTGAACGACCATAGTTGGTATCTTCACCTGAGGCCAATAGGTTACATTTGTTGAGTTTCCTGGGAAGAGATGAAAGGACAGCATTGTAAGTGGGGGATAAGTGGTGGCGTAGACCCCCTCCTCGGTTCAATGACGGCTTCTCGACCCGGGTGTAGATGGCTTCCTTGACACCTCTTTCAAACCATCCATCTTCCCTGTCTAAAATGTGCACCTGGTGGTCCTCAAACGAGTGTCCTCTGTCCTTCAGATGTAAGAAGACTGCAGAGTCTTGACATGAGGAGTTGGCCCTTCTGTGTTGAGCCACATATAGAGCCTCTCTATATGTATACTAGATTAGCAAGAATGTCTGAGAAGTTCATTCAAACTTGTCTTTGCATTTCACCAGGAACTTCGACTAGTGAACTTGTGATCTTATGCAGCTCCGAAAGTACTGGTAGCTCTGCTGGTTT